AAGTGGGGATACCATGCTTATTTCACCCACTACCCCCACAGAAGTGTAAAACAAAATGTTTTAATGTAATCAAATATGTTTTTCCTAACATTCCAGAGATTGAATCTGAGAATGTAGAACAGCAGTTTGATGTGAAAATGTCTTCTACTTGAGTGAAATTGCACACAGTTGCACTGAACCAAGTTCCAGTGTAGTAACATGTAACCAGTTGCCGGATACTTTCACACTTGAGTGAACCCTGGATTATGAGCCCTCCATTATGAGGGAATAAGCATATGCCCAGGTTGTCATTAACAATCACTTGAACAGCACACCCACCATTTACTGCCGTTTTATATAGAGGGAGGAGGTGAGTTTTTATGCTGCATTCATCAGTATTGCAGCAGTGTCAAGGAAGGTGAAGGTTTAGCTCAGTGGTGAGAGCACTTACTTGTGACGCCATAACAGGGTCCTACTTGCCTGCACATGGCTATGTAGTGTAATGCCAGGTCTTTTTGTCCCCACTTTATACCACTTACTGCTATTTTATATAGAGTGGATGGGTACGCAGGATTTATCTGGACCTGCTCAGTGGCCAGTATTCAGCCCCAAGTTTACAGCAACTGTCATAATGTAGTCTTTTTGTTCACACTTTGCTCATCACAGCAAAATACAGAAGACGTTTGAGTCTTGAAGGGTAAATGTCGTTCTTGGGGTTCCTGGTATGATATCACTGGATTGTTGCTGAAAGCAACAGCTCACAAGTAACTGGGTACTTGATCCATAAGGTATCAAATCAATTTGGAGCTCAGTAATGTTGAATTGTGACCCCAAGGTTACATTGTTACACTTAATTTCGCTTTTGTATCCTGACTCCTTGTATATTGATACAATAAACCATGGCGTTTGGGCTCATTGTTGAAGGACCCAGCTCTGGTTCTACCTATTCAGGAACAGGCTAAATAATTGGGAATTTGCTGCGAAACAGCACTGTGACATCTGTCAAAACAACTCTAAAGAAGCAGTGCTTGCTTTCATTGCATAAGAGAGGCAAGCCAAGCGTAGTTTCCATGATTGAAATCAAGATGTCTGTTTAAGCCGTTGAACAGCTGTTGCTCTGTGGCTGTTGTTGCTGTTGCTGTTGCAGATCCAGACAGAGCTACAGCGAAAGGTTTACCTCCAACTATAAATGTTGAAGTTGGACGAACTCATGTGTAGTGGTCGTGCAATATTTTCTGACAATATCCTGAAATAACTTGTAATATTTCTGGAAGGAACTGATGTAGGATGATCATGTAAATTCATGCTGAATCCAGGAATCTCACTGGTTGGGAGAGTTCAATGATTTGGGGGTGCCGAGACAGGGAGACCAAGAATTATATCATTTTCAAACTGTTAAGGGCAGTTTCTCTCCCATGGCAGATTGATTGGTGACTGGATGAGGGAAAACATCTTTCCAAGTACATTAGCTAGAGGTCTATTATCATGGGTACATTATGTTTGATAAACAAGGTAGATGCAAGGAGATCCACAATGTATTGTGTACAGTCCTTCTGTGAACCAGTGGCTGAGGGTTATTGTCCCTTGAAAGAAGAAATAACTGTCCGTTTCTAAGAAAAATGAAATGATTCATCTAGCTCTATGTCATACCTGGCTGATCGCTACCCCTTGCAGGTTTCTACACGCTGAACTAACCACGTCAGTGTGAATCTATTGGAGTTGTTCCCCACTATCTAATGCTGGTCATAAGAGGCTACTCAGTAGTAGAAACTAACATTTTTGTTCCACTAGTCCTTATAATTATCACATAAAGCAACACCTTTACAAATGGCAAATTTCTACTGGTCCTTGTGATACCATAACTATTAGGCAAGGACTACATCTGCTACTTCTTTGATTGGGTTATGAGCCTAGACTTGTTGCTTGCGTGTCATCATATCCCAATGGTGTTTATTATTGCTCATAGTGTCAATCACTGGTTTGTCTGGCCCAGGCTTGATTTATACACAGGTGTACCGTGACTCGAACATTTGGTAAACAGTTCCCTTGCTCATACAGAGGTTTGGCAAGGAGTCATCAGAATCATTGCCTGATAGATGTAGAGTTTACTACAGGAGTGTCTTTCAGATACCATTTATCTACCTATCTAACGAGCATAAAATATTATATTTAGACGTGCCATTGTTTATTTCAGTGCAAACGCATCAGTAGTGAGTCGAGATGAAACTTGTGACACATGCACGGAGACGGACTCAGTTATCAGTGCAGCGGCAAGGAGAGGTATGTAGAGTTTTCTCCCTTGTATATACACCCTTATATGTTCTAGGTTACTGTGATATATCTGGTGCAAAGTCAGGAGATATATATCTATACCCATATATACCCAGGAGATAAACATATGCCTTTATGAGGCCAGTGGAGGCCCAGGTGGCCCAGGTGTCTAAGGCATGACAGTTTGCATCCATTGGGCAGCCAGAAACCTGGGAGCATGGGTTCAAATCCCAGTTCCCCCTGATCATGTTTCTTGGTTTGTCAGCTCCATACCCGTACTTGTGTTTTTCACCAAAGTGCATCACATAGGGCTTTCCTCCCACACTATGCTGACACGCTGTGATAGCTGAAATACTGTTCAAAGCGGCATTAAATCCAACTCACTCACTCAATCACTTATGAGGCTAGTAGCGATTGATAGAATAAACTCTGACAGTACTTGATAGCTGCCTATCGCTAGGTAAACTGTGATGATAACTTAAGAAACGACTTTACACAGTGTCTACAGACCTAGGACAAACTCTTGATGAAGGACGTACTTGGTTTATATGTGAATGGAATAATATGTCGATGTTGGCTTTAACTGGCAATGCAGGTTAAAGACATTGTATAGCAGCATTTGTAATTGTGGGATCCTTAAGGTTATCTGTAACTTTCAACATCCAATTTTATTATTAACACCACCTGAGTCTCATGTTTTATTTGGAACAATGTACAGCAGAAACTGATAGAATATGTTTCATGTTTGTGACTGACACCAGTAAGTTTGAATACCACAAGGCCATGAACCTCCCCAAATTTTGAACTGGTCAGAATATGTCCCCAATAACTCATACTTGTCTGCTTGTTGGGATTCCAAGGCAAAATAGGCCTTCAGTAGTATAGGCTTGTTTCCTGGTTTGGGTTCCTGGTCAGAATAAGTGCAAATGATACGAGAGGTGGAATCTGATTGTTCCATAGGAGAGGCTTGGAGAGACATAACTCGTAATAGTCACTGGTAGCGCTACAATCGTGCACAGGAATTCCAGCCTAGTTGGGCAAGGATAGAAACTCGACTTTCACAGTCAGTTAATGCCCTTGCCTCAGGAAGATGGTTGCTGGGTGCTTATAGAATACAAGCTAGAAGGATTTACGGATTGTTTGTACTAGGTGTTAAGTGGTGGACTTACAGCATTCTTTCATGAAAAGTGAAATAAGCTTAATTCTGACTTTCATGTATTCTATATATTGTTCATTATCATTTTAAGAAAGGAAATATGTTGAAATGTCCAACCTTTGGAGAAACATTGCTAAGTTAGCATATTGTTCAGATAGCATAACCTTATCTCTTTGTGATGTCATGAACAATGGATGTTATGCCTTATTGTTCTCAGCAATGTGACATCATATCACATCATCATATCATTCGGCAGATTACACTTATCTCTCTACCCTAATATGGGTAATATTCATAATTGTGTACCTACTGTTGTCTGAGATGTCAGAGCATGATAGATCTTCAGTTCCATAGCCTAAGTACCGTATTCCTCCACTAAACGCTTTCAGACACTCTTAACTACCAACGTTTAATCAAGAACCAGCCTTATAATTCCAATTTCTGACTATGATTCGCTCAAACTCTCCTTCGGTACCGAAGTTTAAAAGTTCTATAAAATGCTTTAGTTTTCCAGGGACAATGTGTTGAACGCTTACAGTAGTTGAAATACAATATGTAATGCATTATGAAACTACCTGGCGTATTTGTGCTTTTTTCATCACCAGCGTATAATCGAGGAAATACGGTATTAGGACATGCTAAAATAGTGGCAGGGTGGTCATAATTGTATTTTCAAGACTGTTTTGCCAAAGAACATAAGAACATTCTGATACTTAGGATAAGAAAAAAATTATTGTTTTATTATTATTTTTTAAATAGCTCCAAATAGGTCTTTTTGACTAATAGGTTTGTTTTATCTTATTCAACCACAGAATGAAAAATAACATAGAATTGGTAGCTATCATGACTATGTTGTAAAGTATGGTCATGAAGATAACTTTTGGCAATTTTCCAGTTTGTGGTGATATCTATACTCCTTTTGGGAGACGTTGATTAATTTGGTAGCAAAACCATAAACACAATGAGATGATGTACAGGAAATGTGTCGATACTGTTGCTGTCCTGGGAATTTGTGATTGATGAATAAATTTGAGATTATGAAATATGAGTCATCTTGAAAAGAAAGTTTGAAAATGTATCGCAATTCGCCATTTCAAAATTAATTTGGATTTTAATAATTTAGGTGTCATGTTTGATCTCTAATTTACAAATCAGGTATGTGCAGATAAATCTACAAATTGATATAATTTGTTATTCTAGATTTTATCTTGGTTTTCGCTGTGCAGAGTTGCAGGTTTTGGCATGCCAGAGACCTAAGGTCTTGGTGGGAGTCTTAGTTGGCCTGATGATGTTTTTCTAGGTTTGTCAGCACCATACCCGTGCTGTACCACCTTATGCCACAGGTGTAAAATAAGCCCTAAATGATTCTAAAATGCGTCCGCAACTGAGTTTATGTGTATTGATGTGCGACCCCGATACAGCACCCCCTGTCTGGGTGCAAGCAGGTGAAGAGCTAAACGTGATTGGATAGATGTTTATTTATACTGTAGAGTATCTTCCCAGGATGCCACTCGGATAAGGATTGAGCCTCATTCTGATTTCCGTCTCGACCACATGAAATAACACACTCCACACACCTCCAAATGTCAGGGGACTCTAAGGGGGAAATATTGCAGTGATAAACTCAGATTCTGTTGCTTGATGCCCAAGGGCTTGACAGTGTGGGGTCAGGATACAGGGTTCAGGGGAGACAATCCTGGCATGTTTGACATGTTATGTGTAAATAGAAGATAAGATTATTGGCAATTTAGAAAAAAAGACATGCCAACATTCTGTCAATATCAAAGTTGTAGGTACGGATCAATTCTTTTTGAGTCAGTTCAGGAGTAACTTGACATCAGTTTGCCTGCATTCCTTACATCAGTGCATACAGCTGAATAAGTCAGTACACAACAAATGCTTTGGTTGGAAGAGTTGTACTTTTATCCGAAATGTTTTTTGTCCCTACAGTAGAATGAAGCCAATTCTTCTCCTGTGTGGTGATATGGCTTCAAGTAGCATTGACCAACACACTCAGAATGAGAGAATCATTGTCAGTGAGGCTCTTTCACCTTCTTATGGCAACATCTGGAGTTGAACGGAAGAAGGATTATTCATTGATATGACCCATCTGCACAATTATTTATGGTTCCAGCCGACCCATTTGTGAATACAGTTTGAGAGTGAACATTGTGATCAATATGTAGGTGCCACACAGACTGTTCAATACAGAGCCAGTAGATGGGACCAGGTATTAACAGGTATTGATACCTGTCATGTGATGGCCATTATTGGTCAGGAACTCAATCCCTTCTAATCACGCAAATAAAGGCATAAAAACCTTCTTGAGATTAATATCTGCCCTTAGTCGTGTATGTTCCTGATCTTTAGTATACAAACAACCAGATTGTTATCACAATTGGTAGCCATTACCATGTGACATGAAGTCTTTATCTTTCTCTGACGGTGGTATAAACATTGTATCGGTGTCCTTCCTACCCCTTAGTGCTGTGCTAAACAAATATAGACACGTGATATTGTCTAGCTGTGCTATACAGGGTATATCTCTCCAGGCAGTTGTGTGTTATACACACAGACAATAGTGTTGTATCACACAGACAGTATGGTCTTATATGACGGGAGACAATAATGTTATATGAGATTTATGGCATGTTGTGTCAGGACTAACACTAAGCAGTGGTTAAGTGTCAGTGTCTACCTGTAGGAGTGTTGATTACAGTTGAATCAGATCTTCGCCTGGGACAAAAGCAAGATCCTGCAGTTCTGACATCATGAAAAGTCGATTTTATGACGACTTTGACATTGAGGAGCTACCATGGCAAGGTATTTTCTGGCATGTTTTGGATCTGTACCTTTCAAGGGAGGTTGGTCGATGTATTTGTTATGTCTGTCTGTAACCTCATAAGTAGAATCAGAGAACTTAAATATTGGAAGATATTTGTTTCTCTGACGTTTTAATGTTCATTAAGATCATAAGTGAAGTTAGTACTACTGTGTTGTAGTTTATGGAAAATGATCATTTGGGGAGGTGGGGGGGTAATAATAATAATAATGGTGTTTCTAGGCTCAAAATTCCTAATCACTGAGGGACATGCTCAATGCACAACACAGCATATGTACATATATAAACAACAGAGAGGGGAGAGTAAGATAATAAACATATACACATTCAGTTGTAGTGTTTGAAAATGTAAGTTTTGAGTCCAGATTTAAACAGTGATACAAGGTGCACTTCTGTATGTTGATTGATTTGTGAAGTAAGGTAAGGTTTGGCATTGTTTTGAAAAGTTTGTGGTAGGTAAGTAGGTCAAGAATGGTGAGAGTTGAAGGAAAGCTGTCATGTTGTCAGTTGATTTATTGTTTGAAACTGCCATGATCAGTGAATCAATAACTCAAAAATCAATACTTGTGTCTAGGAGAAGCTTAACTGATCACTGATAACGTACCACTCCAGAAGATTCAAGTGTTGTACTGATAACGTACCACTCCAGAAGATTCAAGTGTTGTGGTATAGGAATATGAGCGTTGATAATGTAGAATCCAAATTGGTAGCTGCCCATGGTAGAATACAAATAGAACTAAATATACTGTGTCCCTAGTTGGTTTCCATGGTAACTATTGCCTCATGTTTGTAAGTCAAGGACTAATGGGGATTGGTTGGTGCCAATGGGAGCTGACTATGGATAGTGTTGACTTGAGCTGGAACATTGCAGTCTTTGCCAACGTCTTTTGAGATTACCCATCATTTTCAGTCTATTTTAGTGTTGTTGCGGGGATGAAAATTAGCACTAGCCTGGACCAGTTTTGTTAATATTAAAGTAATACTAAAGGCTAGTGAAATTTCAAAGTTATT